TATTTTTCATATTTATACCCCGCCCTCTCCAGTGGGCTCAGGGTGGCTTACAGGGGCAAGAAGACCTTGCCATAATAAAAACATAGTATACATAATAGCTTAAAAACAATACAATACAGCTTAAAACATCCTAAAATTAGAACAGTGGTGCTCAATGGCTCCCCTATAGATGGCAAATCAGAGATGGCAAATCAAAGATGGTAAAGATGACAGATCAAAGGTCCAGAGTTAGCAGATCTCCAGGTCCCACTGGAGGTTGGCAAGCCTACAGATGAACAATATAATTATTGGGGGGGGGTACATTTCGAATGGCCACTGAAAACATGGTGCCAGGAGAGCAGATGTGGGAGGGATGTCCCACTGCCATTGGCCTTGTTAGTTCAACCCAAAAAATGAGCCATGCCGCACCTTTTCATTAGAGACAATCAGAAAGACACAAAACAAGTTTGTGTTCATCTGGTTGCTCCCAGTAAAAGGTATAGATTTTACTCCAGGTTCATGCACAGTCTTCAGGGAGGTGACGTCCCTTCTCCTGGGGTGCCTTCCTTCCTAATCTGAATTCGTGAGGGCTGAAAGATGAGGCAGCAAAGCAGTTTTCATGGGTGGAGAAGTGTAGTCCCAACATTTTCTGGGACTGAATGAACCCTTTTGAAAAACTCTGGGGCTGAGATCTGGTTCAAAGGAAGGTTTGTGTGCACATCTGGTGAAGTGGGCTCTAGCCCACAAAAGCATCTGACACAATCAGGTGGGTAGTCTTTAAGGTGCCAACAGGTTATTCATTGCAGCAAAAACGATAGAATAACAAGGCTACCTTTCTGGAAGTGGTCTTAAAGGGAGAAATGTTTGTGGCTTTGCAACAATTCTAGTTAGGAAGTGTGTGTGGGGGGTGATAAGCAGCCTCTTCAAACTGCTCCAAGGGCTGCTCCAGTGTCCTGAGTCCAGATACCAGAGAAGGAGTAGGGATCAAAAGAATCCACAGCAGAAAGGCAAACATTCCGCGTTAGAAGTATTTAGTTTCTATTTCAGCCTTTGGAAACTGTCACGTGGATCAGTAATTAGGATAATAAAACAGGATTGTTCCATCCACTGATCATTTTGTATGACAATTAATTTCTGGACCCAGTCCAAAGCATCGGCTGTAACCAGGACTGATTTTGAATTTCTCATCTCACCACAAAACCTCCACTGTGATTCTCCTTCTGCTTTGTACCATTGGAACCCTTGATTCTTTCATTTAGCATCGTTTTCTTATCCTCGCAGCGATTTTTGAATGAAAAAGTTGAGTGCATTTTCAACATTATCTGAGGATCAGTAAATCAGTATTATACCTAGATATTGTACCCATCTGTGACACCCAAGTGTATGTGTTGATACTGTATTTTTAAAAAGGTTCAGTATGTGTACACAATGCAAGTAAATCCATAAAATGAAACATAAAAAGTAGTGGAATTACAACTGCTCTCCAGACTACAGTGATCTAGTTTCCTTGGAGAAAAGGGCTGCTTCTGAGGGTAAGCATGATACCCTGCTGACATCCCTACCCTCCCCAAATCCCACCTACCCCAAGCTCTGTCCCTCAAACCTCCAGAGTTGGCAACCAAAAAAGGAGAGAATTGAAACTATGAAAATATAACGAAACCTAACAAAAGAAACAAAATAGAAACCTAACAAAAAGAAACACTTATCCTACTTATCCCAAGCTGTAACTTTCTTTCTTTCTTTCTTTCTTTGCTCTAGTCTCCAAATGGACTTCTTCCAGGGAAAACCTTTATTTTTAAAAAAAACAAGAACAATTCAGTTTATTGCATTGGTAGATGCTCTCCGACAGTGCTTCCCCGGAAGCTTCTTCAAACACACCTCAGAAAGAACGTGCTTCGCTGGATTACCTGTTCCATTTGTGGTTATTTGCATTTACTTAGTAGTTCTTTTGACTCACGCCTTTCATGCTTCGCATCTATGCAAAACAAAAAAAGGCAAATGTTTCCCTTGCTTGAAAGCCAGTTGAATCCAACTCTAGGGGGCGGTGCTCATCTCCATTTCCAAGCCGAGGAGCCAGCGCTGTTTGAAGACGTTTCCATGGTCATGTGGCCAGCATGACTAAACGCTGAATTGCACAGGATACTGTTACCTTCCCACTGAAGTGGTACCTATTTATCTACTTGCATTTCTTGCTTTTGAACTGCTAGGTTGGCAGGAGCTGGGGACGGAGACGGGAGCTCACTCCATCACGCAGCACTAGGGTCTCGAACTGCCGAACTACAGACCTTTCGGTCTGCAGCTCAGCGTCTTAATCTCTGAGCCACCACAGCCCCAAAACATACAAAACCATTAACAATCATCAATTGTTGAACTCAGGGGTCATTTTGTAGAAAAAGAGCTAGGGGAACTCATTAGCATAACTTATTAGCATATGCCACACCCCCTGACATCAGGGGCCCGGCGGTGGACCTGCAAGGCCAGCGGAAGTGCGAGGAAGCCCTGCCAAGGCCCTCCCTGGCCCCAGGCAGGCAGGGGTGGGGAGAGGCGGGGAGGAAGCAACTTACCCTCCCTCTTCTCCTGCCTCCTCCTGGCTGAATGAAGGCTGGAAGCGGGGTGGCCGGAAGCAGGGGGCGGGGCTTCATCGTGTGCCCCGCCCCCCTGCACCTCACCCGGGGGAACTGCGTTCCCCCGCGTCCCCCCCGAAATGACCTCTGGTTGAACTACAAAAGGGAGGAGACGAAAGGCATTATCAAACTAATAGATATGCCAGCCTCTAGTTGGTGTAGAAACAATAGAGAGATCACAGGAAGGATGTAAACAATGATGAAAACAACCGTGATGTAGTATTATGAAAATATATTTAGACTGCTCTTAAGGCCTCGAATGTGCCTAGAAAGAGTTTGTTAACCAAAAAGATGAGAGCAAGTCACTCTGGCTTAATTTGGGCATTGAATTATTCCAATCTTGCGATGCCCATAAAGAGAGCAGTACAGAATTTGTGGAGACTGGTTGAGGACATACCGGGTTCTGCCACTATATGTTTCCGTAAGACTAAAATATTCAGGATTATTTAGTACATTCTAATTTTAAGAAAAACCAAATTGTTAATAGCCTTCCATCGGGACATTTCTCCTGTGGGAGTTGCAAAATATGTCATATGGCATTAGAGGGTAATCTAGTGTCCTTACCTGGACAAGAACCTATAAATCTTCCCTTTTTCTCCACCTGGATGACACCATTTATTGTATGTGGTTGTCCACAATTTTTTGTGGGGAAAACAGTCCGGCCGATCAAAGTGCGCATCTTAGAGCATATTTCATGCATAAGACACAATAGGCTAGAGGCT